GTTTTAAAAAAAATGAATATGGAATACTAATTATCAAATTTGAACATGCTCTAAAATAGAAATCTTCATTGTTTTAAATATAATTAGTATTGTCAATAAATTTTCTATGAGAATATTAAAAATGGGTGAGTGTAGGTATGGGTGTCCGCCTGAGTGAAGAGAAGATCCATGACTACACCAACCGACACCACACACCCACGTTCTAATTTATGAATAATATTTTGATTGTACAAGACAAACGATGACAGGGGAATACACAAAAAATAATTACTTGTTTTTGCTACTTTACGCTATCGTTCGCACTTATGTATGTCTACATTGTCTCTGATTAAATAAAATATTATTGCAGTATCGCATTATAATGGATTAGTCCTCTCGACGAGCGTTATCAATTTGACCATTTTGCAATAACACGCAATAGACATGCTTCATTGATCGTAATGATTGAAAATGTTTTCATCGACATATAAACAAGGGGCAGTCTTGTAATGTACTCACATATCATTTGTTTTGCTTCACATCGTCACTTCACTCTTATTTTATTTTTTATCTGTCATTATTCATGGAAAAATGGTTAACCATATGCAAATCTTTGCATTTCTTTTCTTAGTGGCCATTGTTGCTAGGACAAGTCTTGCATGGAGCAATCGTTTCTCCGAACGAAATGATGTCAGACGCCGAATAAGTCTCAGTCGACTTTCTCAAACTTTCAATAATAAACGTACACGAACTATTCATCATTGAGGTTGTTCAATTTATTACTGAAATCTTCATAGTCGAATCTATGAAAAACAGTTGCAATATGAGAACGAAACGATAGTTTCTTGTGATCATTTGATATGTGATCATTGATACTATTATTGGGTGAAGATCAGAACTCTGAAAAAGGCTGAATAGATGAATAAAGCCTTGAAACTTTGACGAATTCATGAATAAGATGATTTATAGTCATCATACATCGGAGTAAAACATGGGATTTGAAATCGTCCTATTATTTGAATAGAAGTTTTGTAATTGTCAATTTTCCTTTGCTATGTGATACTCGATTATCTCAGCGATGGATTTCGTTGACTAAAGAACGAATATACATCTAGAACATCGTCATGTGGCTGACAGAATTCGTTATTCATGCCATCTTTGTTTTAATGACAGCACTAAGGCATTGATTAGCATAGGTGAACAATATTAGTATTCATCCAATGCATTGATAGTGATGGTTTATTGACAATATCGACTATTTGTTATATATCCATAGAAAATTCTCATCGTATAGAAGTGAAATAAATGAATCAAGCTTTGACTATTTTTCACACTATTCTGATTAAAGTTCTACATCATACGACTATCACTTTTGTGAACGGATTGATGCAAACATCGAATATTTGAAGGAAACTTTGAATTTGAAGAGAACTCATAATCAATATAATCTTTTATCACGTAATCAACTTACATTTCAATGATACTCTTAGAGATGAGCGGGACCAATCATTTTTGGTCCCGGTCCCGGTTTTGGTCCCGGTCCTGGTTCTGGTCCCGATCCCGATCAGAAAAAAAGACAATTGGTTCCAATCTCGACATTGGTCAGAAAAAATTTTTGGTCCTAAACTGAGTCAAAAAACAACCTGGTTTCTGTCCGTATCCGAAAAAAATTTTTAGTCTTGGTTTCACAGTTAGCAATACAAATACTAACGCAAAATAGGATATGATTTTCTAGCAATGTCAATAAACTTGAGACATCTTGCATGACCCAAATAGTCTTTAATATCCTCCGTCTTGGAGGTTCGTTACTGTTTTTAATTTACTGGTACTTTGTCTACATTATATGTTTATGTGTTCATTCACTTGGTTGTTGAAGAAAATAGGTACTGATTTTATTATCAAAATTGTGGCAGCGAATATTGAAATGATTGTTACCCAATTATTTTTTTTACAAATCTTGACCTTGAAATTCAAAGTTGAAGCTTAAATGTCCTTGAATACTTTTTTCTTATTGCAGCAAATTTCGTACGAAGTATTCGAATAATTTCTTTTTAGATTTTGATATTCACATGTTATCTGCCGATGATTTATCAGACTTGATCAAAAAAAGTGATCCATCCGTATCTTACTATAATCCACTTGAAACAGACAACAACAGCTCAAAAAAAAGAAAACGAAGTGAACATTGGAATGGATTTCGACGAATATTAGTAAATGATGTTAAACAAAATTACATTATCTGTGGTAATTGTCAAATTTTACTGAAATGGCGAACTGATGACGGTACAAACGTAATGAAAAAGCACATGATTGGATGTAAATCTCATTCTGCTGTTCCATCATCATTTAGTCAATCCATATCTACGTTCTTCACAGTTGATATACGAAATAAATCACGTGCTACTCGTTTAGCAAAACATAAATTGAAAAAAGCTATTGCAGAATGTTGTATTCTTGATAGTCATCCATTTGCACTAGCTGATGGTCCTGGTTTTCAA